GGAAACCTACAGATTAAAGAAGACTTACCAGACACATTGAAGTTTTTAAAAAAATGGACAAGACTAAAGTATTGTGTTAAGAAAGCCACATTGGGATAATGGAACAATAAAAATGTAAGAAAATGATCATTGAAAAGGATACCATTTCCTCATGGGAGAGAAATAGTAGGTTGTGTGTGATGGGGTACCTGAAAGGGACTTCTGGAGTGGCTGGCAAAGTTGTATTTCTTGACCTTGTAGTGGATAAAAAGTGTTTATAATAATTTATTGAGCCATGCATTTGGCTTGTTTGATTTTCTATGTCTGTGTTTTGGTACAATATATAATTTTAAAATTATGTCATTAATATTTTTGAGTTCTTCTTATATGTCAGCCTTTACTAGGTGTTGGCAAGGAGAACCTTAAGACTATTTCTATATGGGGGACAATTACATTAGAATGTATTAGATGTGGGGCAAGCACAGAGGATGCTATGTGAGCATATGGGAAGGACACCTGACCCATACAAGGGGGTCAAAGCAAGCTTCTTGGAAGATACAGTTTCGGCTGAGGTCTGAAGCGTGAGTAGACATTAGCCTGTTAGAGAGCTGGTGGAGGGGCATGGGAAACTTCCAAGGAGTGGGGATAACATTTGGGACCAGCTAGATGTGAGAGAGGAAAATGATGCTTTTGAAGAACTTAAGGTTCAGTTTACACGAAAAGTTACATAGAAATGGGAAGGAGTAGGGATGGCAGGAGTGTTGAGAGAGGAGCAGGGGCCAGATGCTGAATTGCCTTTTAATTCATGCTGCCATGTTAGATGATTTTTTTTCTTTGGCTAGGGGAAGCCATTATATGTTTTAAACAGAGATTGCATTTTAGACAGATCATTCTCACTACATAATGGAGCACAGCATTGGGACAGACTGTTGGTGGTGGTGGTAAGAAATACTGGAGGTAAGGAGACCAACCAGTAAGAAAGGCATTAGTCCAGGTGAGAGACAATACTTGCTATAAAAATGGAGAAAAGCGTATACAGCTCAAGAGATATTTATGGGACAGAAATTACAAAACATGGTGATGGCTTGGATATAGGCAATGAAAGACAGGGAAGAGCCACAGATAACTTCATGTTTTGGTCATTGAGTTAATGTTAATGTCTTTTACTAAACAATGGCATACAGACTGTATCATTGAAGAAGGAATTTTGGTAGAGAGAAGAAAATGGGGCATATTGAGTTTACAGCACTTATGGAGAAGTTTCATTGGATAAATAAACTGGACATTAAGATATAAGCAACTGATGTACAGAGGGAAGACCTGGGCTAGTGGAAGAATAAATTCCTCTGAGGGACTCTAACATCTTGGTAATGGATAGAGAAAGAGTCACCTACACAGGTGCCTGAGAAGGAGCACCCAGAAGGTAGTGGGGGAAAACAAAATACTCTGTTGTCATGGAAACCAAAGGAAAAGAATATTGCAATGAGGGGTGTTTGATACTGCCAATTAAAGTCAGGAAAGATATAGTCTGAGAGATGCACATTAGATAGAGGAAAAAATAATCCACTTCTGCATCTCAGACTACAGTCACAGCAAATGTCACACTCACATTAAATGTGTTTACTTCAAGAGTTTTGGAAAATGAGTGTGTAACTGTGTGTAGAGGGTGCTTCCATTGCTCTGGACAAAATAAAAAACAAACAAACAAACAAACAAAAAAAACACAAGAGTTTACCCAGACCTGTCAGTGATATTATTCTAAATTTCATAGTCCAGCTCAAACATAGGCAAATTCTAACCTACCACCTGTTTTGGCATATCAAGTTTTATTGGAACACAGCCAGGCCGATTCATTTACAGCCATTCTCATTTGTTTAGATGTCTGTGGCGGATCTTGTACCCAATGGAAATTGAATAGTGACACAGGCAGTATGGCCTGCAAGCCTTTTTGGTCCTTTACAGAAAAAGTTTGCTGACTCCTGATCTAAAGTCTAGCGGTTAAAGTACTAACTTAAAAATCTTGATAAACAAAATTGATACCCCACTGGCTAGATTGACTAAAATCCAAAGGGAAAGGTCTCTAATAAACTCAATCAAAAATGAAAAAGGAGAGATCACAACAGATGCCAC